ACACACACACACACACACACACACACACACACACACACACACACACACACAAACACACACACACACTCTTACTAAATTATACTCTCAATTAGGTAATTGTATTTTTATTTTATTTTAGTAGCCTGTATACTGCTTTATGTGCCTCAGTTGACAAAGGGCTTAATGAACGTAATGCCACAACTTTGGATAAGGGGATTTGAAACTGAGCTTGGTCTGGACTTCTCTATTTCTTCTGTAGTCAGCTCTAAGTGCGTGTTTTTCTTCTTTGTTTAGGCATTTATGGCCTCCATCGACACGATTTAGATTATTTAGGAGGTGAGATTCAACCCTGTCTGTCAGGGCTAACCCGGGATGAGAGGGATACGATGTCCCAACAGATGGACTGAAATGCTCGATAAATATTCCGCCTATACGAGAATTTTGTGTGTGACAATTAAGCGCCTAACCTCTGCATCCTACATGCCGGTCTCTCAGTCTGGTGTGGTGATCAAGAGGCTGAAGCTCCACCCTTCTCAATTACAAGAGATATGGTTGGTTAGGAAGTAAACCATCGAGAGTGTCAACAACAACAACAACAACAACAACAACAACAACAACAGCAACAACAGCATCTTCAACAACAACAAAAAGAACAACAACAAAAAGAACAACAACACCAAGAAGAAGAAGAAGAAGAAGAAAAAGAAGAAGAATACCACACGAGCATGAAGAACAAAACAACAACAACAACAACCACATCAACAACAAAAACAAAAACAAAAACAACAATAAGAACAACAACATATTTCATCATCATCATCATCATCATCATCATCATCATCATCATCATCATCATCATCATCATCATCATCATCATCATCATCGTTATCCCCATCATCATCGTTTGTCTGTTTTGTTTGTTTGAGTAAAGAGAAGTACATCAAGATAATATTAATAATGGTCTTTTAGTGCTGGGAGAAAAATAAGACAGACAGACAGAATAACTTATAACAGGGAAAGTAAAAGAGTAGGACCTACCAGTGGCGCCCTCCAACCTCCCGTATCCTCCTCCTCCTCATCATCATCATCATAATCAACAACAACACCAAAACAACAACAAAAACAACAGCAACAACTATAACAATAACAACAACAGTTACACGTGAAACATCATGTAACCCTTTATAAAGAGAATTTAATACTTACTGAAGTCCAACTTGGCAACCCGCACCAGGCTTATTCCGGAAGACTTTCCCCCGACAGTTTCCGGTTTGCCAGACTTTCCGTTGGCAACGACAGTTTCTGACTTCCTCCGAAACCTGTCGAGGAAAATGTTCCCGCCGCCGTTCTCTGTAACGTCATTCTCATGGTGGTCATGTGACAGAGCGTCCTCGGATTTTCGGCGTTGTCTTCCTCCGAAAAATCCGTTGATTTGAGACAATAAATCGCTCTGCATGTTCACGATATGGGTGCAGCTGTTCTGTTTTGTTGTCAAGCCAGGTGGCTGGCTTAACAGAATAAGAAATTTAGTAAACTGTGTTTATTACGGCGACATCAATGTTCAGAACAAACAACAACACTTGTCGTGCAGTACCGAAAAACGAAGATGTCTGCACTATTAAACAAATTATGTCCTGGTTTGGACCACGTGCTGAATTCTGAGAGGAAAATCAAACAAACTGCTGACGAACCAGAATAAAAAGGATCGATTAAACTTCCTCGAAAATGTGTGCACAATCGTACGGAACTGTTCGTTTATCGCTTGCTTGGCGACAACGATAAGTGTAAACGGACAGCCCAGAGCGTTCGAAAACTGATGATGCCAAATATTATTACAATATCAGTCGATTGTACAAGTACAATCTTTGCTGTTGGCAGAAGCACATACAAAAGTCATTCTTGTGAGAGCAAAGTCTTCATCTCTCCATCCCTCCATGGTAGGTTTATTACTGATGCATTGTTGGTGATCAAGCTGGAATTTGCTTGTAGTAATGTCATGCTTTTGTCAGGCCGTTAGAGCATCACCAACCACTTCTTGAAAACCACGACAACGCATATCTCCGAACAGATGGCTTTATTAATTTATCTTTTCTTTTAGTTATGAAATCTCACCGTGTCGTATGGTTACGTTGTCATTGAGTTCTTTACAACCATGACAAGACAGTTGTTTTGGGTTTATTTTTGTTTTTTGTAGTCACACTTTTCAATTTTATTTTTTTTAAGCCACAGAGTCACTCAGATTCAAACACTCAACAGAAAAAATATACAGTTTTTTTTGTTGGGGGCTTTTTAGTTGGGTTTTTTTTAGTTTGTTGTGGTCACAGAGTCTCAAAGCTCTTTAAAACAACAGAGTCAATCAGATTCAAACTGAAAAAGCAGTACATCGTAATTCCATACTGTACCACTCTCACAACGATCCTTATTAATAATATGCTACACCGTTACACAGTTTCTCTTATCCACAACGTCTACAAAGAATCTCATCGATGCGCCATCTCACACAATTCCTTATCTCCGACAACGCTTCAATTCTCTTACTAACCATGACATCAATAACTTGCTATTATTCAAAGCGTCCGGAAGTTTCTTGTCTTAAAATTCCGTCACTGCAGGTTTTATTGACACTCACACCGCCTTGGCCTCTGATGGCCTCACGGTCAGCACGTCACCTGTTTGAGGGGGACCAACAGTCTGACTTGGTGCGGTGCGGTGTGGTGCGGTGAAGCCAATTCCGACGAAAACCTCCCCTGCTTTAATTGTTGGTCAGCGCTCACTGCTGTGTGCTTTGCAAGAAAAGAAGAACTTGCAAACTGTGGAATAAGAGAGGAGATGCACTACTATAATAAATTTGATCCTGTGGTAACGAATAAGATGGAAGATGCAAAAAATGCACGCGTACACACACACACACTTACACACACACACACACACAC